TTATTAATGTTTTTGTCTTCAGCCCTTAACTAAACGTTTCGCTTTTTCGTACCTTCCATTTATCATCATTCGATGATCAAGCGCAGTTTTGCTGCAAAGAATTTTATTAATCCATACTTAACATTTCAATGATTAGTGATTGTTTAAAGACATTTAATTTAAATTTGTAAACTAATCTTTGTTTTGTTTATCATGTGAATTATAGTAAAATGGACAGTAAAAAAGCCGATGAAGATTTGTCAGTAGGAGCTACAACTAACTAAGCAGTGAATCAACAGATGAAGATGAAAAGAAATTTTATTTACATATTTTTGAAGTTGCTTTAGGCGAATATGGGAAGTAATTTTACATGCTTAAATTGGAAATGCTTCCAACTGCATCTTTTTCTGCTTAAAATCATCTTAAAATAGCTATCTCTGGATGAAAATTTGGACTAAACAGTTATTCTACACATAAATGTTTTCTTTCTATGATTCATATTCGTGAAATTCTCAGTCCATTGCATCCATTTGTTCAGACTGGAGGGAGGGGGGTGGATTAAGTCTTTACTGATTTTTGAGACTGCCTTGCATTTATATGATTTCATGCTGATCTAGATTTCTGCTAAAATCAGTTCGTAGATTTGAAAATAACTTTTAGTTCATTTTTTTCTTTTTAAATTATCGAATGCAGGTAAAAATAGATACTTTTCATTGTAAAAAATTCATGATTCTATAAAAGAAGATCTAGACTTTTGAATGACTAACGCTTTTAATATTGCTCAGCATTTTGCAGGTGTTAGTTTTAGTTTGGTTTCGTAGAATATGGCAAAGCACACTAGAGCTATCTGCCTAAGGGGAGGGACGCCTTGGTGGAGGACTTTGTAAGGGAAACTGGCCGATCTACCCGTTACACATGGGGAAAACCAAGAAAACGTTCATGCAGCCAGCCCGTTCGCCTGGAATCGATCCAAGGTCGAAACTATCAGTTTTCAGGTATCTTATTTCAGGTTTGGATTCTAAGGGACTAGATCACATGCGTCCTTCAATGCATATTTTGAATTTTTTTTTTTTTTTTTTCGTTTACGTAGAGCAGAAAATTTGCTAATTGATCCTTGAGACTACAAGTTCCGTTTTGTTTCATCTTTTTCTTTCTGTAATTTTTCCCCACTCCCTAATAGGTATTTCAAGTTATTATATATATTAGAATTTTGTAAACTAACCTTTGTTTTGTTTATCATGTGAATTATAGTAAAATGGACAGTAAAAAGGCCGATGAAGATTTGTCAGTAGGGAGCTACAACTAACTAAGCAGTGAATCAACAGATGAAGATGAAAAGAAATTTTATTTACATATGTGAGTAATGTACAGTGAGGATGTAACCATTAAAGTATATTATAAAAATTAAAACGAGCATTTGATCAAAAGTTTCAAAATTTTAAGGAAAGTTTTCTTCTTTTTTTAAGAATGACACTTTTAACGGTTTTGTCTCTGTGTTTCTATGATTATTTTCGTATATTGTTGCTGCTTTTGTATAGTTGCCCATACCATGTAAGCTACAATAAACTCAGACATTTCAAAATTTACCGTGTGTGTTGTAATGTATGAGTTTATACTTAGTTACTCAATAAATTCTACATATGAACCCATACTGTTTGTTACGTTGTTATGTAAAACATCATTCAGAAGTAGTTTTTAACGGCTCACGTAATTACTTATATGGGGATCTCGGACAAGTCTAATTTAGAAGTCGTTCATCTGTAAAGAATTTTTTACGCGAAGTCAGAATCATAAGCAATATCGTGAAAATCCACTCTTTCGCCTTATACGTGGCGCCTTTCTTCCTGAGATCAATAATTTTTGTAACAATAAATAGCAGATACATTTGAACTGAACGAGTTATCGCTCTTAATTAACTTAATTAACCGAAATCTCGCACAAAGCAGTAACAGGTTTGTCTGAATCTCATGTACTTATTGAACAAAACGTTTAGCTTGTAAAGATATTAATTTATACTGGAAACAGAAGACTTAAACTCACTGGAATGTCGCTCTGTAAGAATTAAAGTTCTGTAAGAATTAAGAGGACCTGATAGAGAGCGGATTGATCTACCTCACTAAGTACCAGCTATCAGATAGATAATTAAATATTTCGGGACCAAAAAGTATAAATTCAAAATAATGTACAGTTGTATAGGAGAAATAATTTGAAAATTAGGAATTATGATAGAGATAAAAATACTAATCGTTTATGGCTATAAGATATGGCACAAGGTGATCTAAAAGTCAGAAAACAGCTTTTTATAGTTGTGACTTCTTTTCAGATGCCTAAATGATACAGCAAAATAATACATTAAAAATATTAAAGCTGCAGTAAAGAAAAGGGAGGTGGAACCTAAAGAAGGAAGGGCAAAAAAATCTGAAAAGTGATACACCGTTTATAGTGAACTGACGCAAAAAGACTAATAATCCTTTTTGGCCTAAAAAGAAAATCTAAAAAGTTTCAGATTTTAACAATTGCCTACAAGGATTTGATAAGGTTTTCAACCGTCTCGCTGAGCTCACCGTCAGCCAGTCTTCTTTTTGCGCTCACTTAGGCTAACCCATTTTTCCTTTTGTCTTTTTAGGTTTATTATTAAGTGTTAGTTTGTTCGCACTTACGCCATGTACAATTCAACAGCAAAGTGTAAACATTTAATAGTAGCATATGTTTAGATTTTCCGATGCAGTGTTAAATGTTGGCATACATTGTTCTATTTGTTTCAGTCTTTTCTCAGTTCAGCGTTTCGATGTTCAAGTTTTGTAGTAAGATGGATTGCAATTCTTTCTGTGTGAGTTAAATTTATTTATTAAACATCACTTTTTCCATATAAAATTTAATTCAACAGCAAAATCACAAAATATTTAAAAATAGCCTATCTTGAGAATTTCCTGTAGATAATCTGGGAGGTGGGGATAAAAACGCTTTATTCCGTACATTGTTTCCACTGCTTGCCTTCAAACCGTTGAGTTCAGTAATAAAAAAATTATTAAACCTTTACAGAATATGAAATATAAAATTCTACATTCAAAATTCGGGCACATGACTACGTTATTCAAATTTGGCTGCCTTAGGTACGTTGTTTTCTCACATTCCGAGGAACATATAAACTTAGATGCAGATTCTTCATTATTTCATTTCTTTAAAAATAATACAGGCAAATAATATTAGGTGGCAACAATTTGAAAATTTATTCAACGTTTATAGTGAACTGACGCAAAATCCCATTTCGAGACTAATAGCTCCCTTTGGGCTAGTGAGAGAAGAGAGAGTCAGAAAACTTCTGCGAATTTTCTTTTCCCCTTCAATCGAAACTTCTACCTTCTGAATAACGGCGATTCGATTCGTCGTGGGATGAAACTTGTGGGATAGGAGAACGCATCCTGTGAAGTCTGAGAGTTAAAAGGGATAAGTTGCCTCACTCTCAAGAGATGAAAGAAAGGCATGAAGATATTATAATTTACGAAATAAAAAGTGACAGAATACGAATTTAAGAACTGCAGTTAACCAGAAAATTTTATTTTAGTGAGGGACGCTGTTTCTCACATAATAATTCTAGAAATTGTCGCACTGGTACTGTACTCACAATTTCGAATAAAAGCTCGCCAATTAACCCGCCAGTCTAAATGTATTAATAACACTCAATTCTGGACCTCGAATTGGGGCCAGTTTCCTTTAAATCGTTCTCCAGTTTCCTCTTACGCATATAGCTCTGGCATGCTTTGCTATAACTAATTATAAAAAAGCACTCAATTCTAGAAATTTTTCCTAAAAAATATAAATTTTTTTAATATAGTTTTCAGCATTCTGTGTGAGATTTGGTATGATAATTATAAAATATAAACAGAACAATGATAAAAATACAAATATGCTTGTATTTTCTAAAATTTCAATTATAATTGATTAAATGCCGTTAAGTAATCCATTGCCGGTGCGTTTTACCCTACCTTAATGGTGGGCCTACTGAGGAATCAATAAAACCAGGAAAGTTTTATTAGTGTGCTGGATCAACAGCCGGCAACATAATTCGTAATGAAATATTAGTATTTTACTATTTATATCCATGACTTGAATTCAATAACAAAATATCCGGATCCAGCTGGGACCACAACAGATCTGAAAAATCTGAGAATTGAGTTATCTTATTTAGATCAAATGCGTATTTACAGAATTTGATTTTTTCCTTTTATCGCATTTTTTTAAAAAGTATATTAATTTATTATTAATTATGAGTATGTATTATAAAATTTTATAAGTTTATAAATTTTAATTAATATAAATTTACATAATTTACAGCTTTTAAATAATTAATTTTAATATAAAAGTTTTAACGTTTAAAAAAGATAAAAAATATTTCTATCTCCATACGAATAAAATAAAATATTGTAGAAATAGACTGCAGTTATGCAGTATATAGTAAAATAAAAATTCTTTGCTGAGTGATGAAGTTGTAATATACCTGTTTTAGAATAGCCTTATATTTATTCAGTAGATAATTTCTTTTTTTTTTAAGTGTTTATAGCTATTATAATTTTCGAATCTTTTAAGCTGTATACAGTCGTCATTGAAATTATTTTCGAATTCGGAATGGATAATTAGAATTTTAAACATACTTAGATTTTCCTTAATTAGTACTTAATTAATAATTTATTAGCTCATTTAAGATGCCGCCATAAATCGAATAAAAGTAACTATTCAAAATACCAAAATGATAACAAAAGGAATTTTGTGTACTATCTTTATTTCAAATTACACTTTCATTTGTATTCATGTACTGCAACTTGAGAGCAAACAGCTCAATTTCCGACATGGTTCCTGCAATTTTTCCCATTCATTATCATCCTCTGAATTTACAACAGGGTTTTCATTTGGTTGCCGAAAATATCTCGTATCGATTTGGCGGCGCTTTTGGCGATCACCTACCTGGTTGGCGCCCGTTCCTTGAAACGAAAACACGCCTCCTTTTTCTCTGTGTCGTTATTCGCGTTTGTGTTGCGTGCCTATCTGGTAAGAACGCGTTCGAGGTATAGTGAAAGTTCGGTGTGAGCTGCAATTTAGTTCTTTCTTTTCATGCTTGGAAGGGAACTAACTGTTGTTGTGTATCTGACAGCAACGATTGTGCGTGTTTGAGGATATAATGTGAATTTCTTGTACTCACTTGGCAACAGTTGCAATTTCAGTTGTAGGTCACTAGTGGATTACCGTTCGAATATTACGTGGATTGTATTTCTAGTTACAAGTAAGTGGTTTTTCCTTCTGTTCATATGTTCAGGTGTGAGTGCATTTGGCGTGGCGGTTTTATCGTTGTTGTCAAATGTAGACGTAATTGCGGCTGTTTTTATTTGTTTAAATGTCACTAACCTGTCTTGGGAATACAATACAGGGAGATGTTTTTGCGTATTTATTTATATATGTAGTACAATTAAGTAAGAATTCGAGACCAAACGAGGGGGGTCGAGGTAACAATACTCTTTAGTTAACACCTAAAACATTAGTATATTAGATTGATATGCGTATAATTGCCATAACGATGCTGTGCAGAAACTAGAGTGCATATCAATTCGTTAGGTATATCAGTGGTAATTCTGGAAAAATTCATATTTGCAAGGTTTTTATGTACCCGCGTAAGTCAATTTGCATTTAGTAATATTTTTCTTCGCATTTTAATCACTGCCATAAATATTAGGTGAAGAGATTAATATGAAATGACTGAAGAAACAGTATAACATAGATGCTGTATGTTCATTTCTTTTTAAAAAATTGTACGGATTGGTAAAATATCATATTTGTGACCAGAAACTATTAAAATCACATAATCATATTAATCACCTGTCATATAAAGCCAAAAAGAATTTTGTTGAGCCATCCATCGAGTTTCCGCAAAAGTTCTTGTCTAAATTCTGGATAGGAGGTATACCTGAATTTCCCGCAATTTTTGAAATGGCGTTTAATATTCCCCCCCCCCTCATGCTACATACTTACGTGAAGCGACATTTTCAGCTATATCACTTATTAAATTCATATATCGTTGGAAAATATTGGAGATGCTGTACATCCAGTATAGTCAAGTATTGCATTAAGATTTAATTTGTTTGCGGCCAAAAAAAAAAAAAAAACTGTTTTCTTAAAACATGGTTTTTATTCATTAATTTATGCATATCTTTATTCTATGTTTAATGTCTGGGATTGCGTAAAAAATATTCTGATAAAAAGGGGGTCGTGAAAGAAAGTTTAAGAAACGATGCTTTAGAGAATTTCATTAATTATCTTACGCGTAATTCTTTTGTTTTTATGAGTCTTCGGAACTTGTAGTGTCCGATTTTTCTCTTAACATTTACTCTTTCATATATCTTTTGAGAAAATATTGGGTTGACAATTACTACGTTCTGAGAAGTCCCACAAATGTTCTACAAAAGTCATGCGCTTGGGAAGGGGGAGGAGGTAGCTGTTTCCGCATATTTAGTAGTCGGGGCTTTCTAACTTCAGTGTGCTTTATCCTATTTGAAGGTAATAATCGGTGTTTACCCCAAGCTTCTGAGCAGCTCTTAGCTTCAGATAGTTAAATATTCCATTTGTTTATCATGCCCTAAAAAAATTCAGGTGTAATGCGCCAGTGCTTGTTATATGCACCTCCAAAACATTATTTCATTTCCTCCAGGTTGGCATTAGTTTTTCTGTGAGTTTTGTCTCGAGTTTTCTTCTAAAAAATTTTCGTCCTTTGATGCCGCATAGGCAGGAATATGCATTCATCGGAAAATATTACCTGTTTCCAGAACTTGTTAGACTGTTAATGTATTCCTTTTCCAAAGGTGATGAATGTACTGAAGTTTGTTCTCTTTAGAAATGCTTTTGAGTGCATCTCGTCCATGATGGTTGTTTTTGCAGTACTTTCTCGTTAGATTCGGCACAAATATTTTTGGAACTCTTACTTCAACATCTTTTGTCAAATGTGACGCAGTTAAGTAAGGATTTTCCTTTAATTGTTCTAAATATGTAACAAGTTTTTTTTGTTGTTTATTTATTTGGTCATCTTGATCCTGCTTTGATATTAAAACTATTGTTGCAGTTTTCACTTTCCTGGATCGAAGTATGCTTATCTAACAATCTATCCAATTTTCCTTGAAGGAGAGCCGATTAAGGATATTAAAAACAATACTGACATTTACAGCACTTGCTGCTAACTCGTTGAACAAAAGCCGAGAATTCGCGTTGCTATTATATGTACACGAACGTTTTCTGGTGAATATTCCATTTTTTAAATTGTGAAGTTTTTCGCTGTTTTTTTGTTCTTGAAATGGGCTTTAATTTGTGTTATTTAATAATGAAATTGTAATGAAAAAAAAAAGTAATTCATATAAATCTTCTCTCCAAATTGCTCTTCTCCATAAATTGCATTGTTTTGATTGCCCGTATGGTGACTTCTAGAACTGTATTAAATGTTTTGAACCGCAGAATAAAACTGTGTCAAACAGCGGAGTTTGACGTAATTCCAGATATATTTGTATTGAGACACAATAACACGCCGAATAAATACTAAATCAGAAGTCAAACAACAAAAATCAGCGTTATATTTACCAAATTTTCACAGGACTAGTTTCGATGGTTTTACCGAACCACTTATCTTATCATTATTTCCTATCTGGTTCATTTGCGGTTTTGCAGCTGAAGATGGTGGTTCGGTAAAACCATCGAAACTAGTCCTGTGAAAATTTGGTAAATATAACGCTGATTTTGGTTGTTTGACTTCTGATTTAATATTTGTATTGTTTTGCAATTTCTTTCAGTTCCTTTTTTTAATATCCGTGTAAACAAGAAAACAATTCATATAGCCACGAATCGATAACAAAAAGGAATGCAAAACTCTCTACATTGGAGGTTTGGGCTTTATTATGTGACTTCGATTAATCGAAGAATAAAAGTAAAAATTTTACAGTATTCAAAAAAAAAAAAAAAAAAAAATTCAATCGAGAAAAATTAACATTGATTTTAATAGGACTCATCTCAAAAGACGTTTTTGACTTGCTGAAAATTTTAGTTTTGCAAGTTCGAATAGTCTTACTGTTTTATATTGAAAGCATCGCAATTCAGTTGTAAATAACTTTACTACAATTTATTTAATCTTGTCCTGTAGTTGAGAGGCCCACCAGCGGCCTAGCGGTAAAGTCGCTGAACACTGGTAGTTCGGTCCGAGGTTCGAATCCCGCGAACGGGCTGGCTGCATGGGCGTTTTCGTGGTTTTCCCCATGTGTAACGTGTATACGAGCCAGTTTCCCTTAGAAAGTCCTCCACGAAGGCATCCCTCCCCATAGGCAGATAGCCCTTGTGTGCTTTGCCGTAATTAAATACACCAACACCTGTAGTTGAGAGGAGTAAAGCTGTTTCAACTGGTAGAAATGCTACCTTATGAATTTAAGCATTATCTATTATGAATTTCGAATTTAACGAGTAAAAATGATTGGAATCTCTGTTATTCAAGTCTCCAGCTCCGCTGTGTTAAATCAAGTGGGAAAAATTTACAAACACTGGTTGTGTTTTGTTGTCGGCCTGTTTTGCTACAAATTATATTGTTGTTCAAAATTTAATTAATAATAAAGTAGCATATGCTGAAAATGGGAAGTAATATTTGCTTTCATTTCATAAGGTAATTTTTTTTTTACATAGATAGTACGGAAGATGCGTGCAAGATGGCATCTAAGTATTTTGTAAATTTTTTTTTGGTTCCGCGCGGAAGTCTTTTGGGAGACTCCTTCCTCCCCCCCCCGAACAAAAAACCCTCTTGTTGTTATTTTTGGTTGCTTAACCTAAATCTGTATTGCGAGATTGGTCTTTTTTAGAAGGAAGGGGGAACTATTAAAAGTCGCATGTTGACATTTAATGAAATTTTGAAACATAAGTGGGCCATTTCAAAGTTGAAAGATAAAAGGTTTCTTCTCTCCGGAAGGCTTTTATTTGTTCGAGGTTAACATTTAGATGTTAATTTGTATCCTAGGGACCACAATCCGTACATCAAGCCTAAATACTTTTCGTTCATTTCGGAACTCTTATTTTATCTTGGAACTTTCATCATTTTTCACAAATATACGGAGTGCATTTTTTAAACAATTAAAATTTACTTAGGCGTAACTTATAATTTATTTAAAAAATGTTTGCCAAAATTATATATATGGATGCTTGGATCCCGACCGTAGTAATTACGTACGAATTTTTCACTAGAGTGATAGTTAAAAATTAAAGTATTTTTTTATAGGAAGAATCTGAAGAAAATTTTTAGGCTTCAAATTTTGTGTTTATGCATTTAAGACAATTAAATTAATGCGATGTAGATGTGAGTTTCGTTCAAATTATTAAAGTTGAAGATTGGTTTGAATTATTTGATTATGGCAAAGCAATCGAGGGCTATCTGCCTGAGGGGGAGGGATGCCACGTAGCGGACTTAGAGAAACGGCTCGTATACAAGTTACACGTAGGGAAAACTACGAAAACGCGTATTCAGCCAGTCCGCTTGCCGGGACTGGAACCCCAGAATGAACTACCAGTCTTTAGCGACGTTACTACTCGACTGCTGGTGGGTTAAATGTTGAAGGATAGGACTGGTCTGTAAATACACTAAAAATTGTTGATTTCATAAAGAGATGCGTTAGCCGAATAATTTTTAATGGATAAATAAAGTTACTGTGTTAAGAGAGGGGCTGAAATATTTAAGTGGTTCGATAAAAAATTTAAGCGAAATTGGTACAGTCGAGTCCTACGTAAAATAAAACCTGTAACAGACCTATTTAAGTGTAATTGAACTATTTTATTCATGTCATGAACTGTAACCGAACTATTTTATTTAAACGCCATCTCGTGGCGATATGAAAAAACGTCAGTCGACCTCCAGCCGCCATGATGATAGCTTACTATGTTATGTTATTCTCAATGTTTGATGTTCCATTTCGTTTATGTTTCATTTTTATATATATTTCTTTTGTTTGTAACCGTTCCTGTGTGCTCTGTTAATAAATCCTTTTAAAGCTAGCCGGCATTAGTGTCTATTGAGGAACGGCTACATCACATTGGCGCCCAACTAAATTTGAATCCAAAATGGCGCAACAAAATGTTTAGAATTTCCGTTTGGCTTTAACAAGCTCTTACTCCCGAATTTAACTTTTAGTTGCTGGAGATCGGCTCAGTTTCTTTTCAGGTGTGGACTACTGGTCAAATATTCTGGAAACCAATTCTGGAATTAAAATTGTCATA